CCCCCTGCCCGTTAGCTCTTTCTCGACACGTGCTGCTGAGAGCACCCTCTTCCCAGCCACCACACGGCACAGCTATCTTACCCCATTGAGTTCGTTCTTTTAGCACATCGCTCCAGTTTCCTTCTGTGAACACTGTTCCAGAACACCCTGCGATGATCATGGACTTTGGGGATGAATCAAAACGAGAATGGGACAGTAGACTTTGGGTCTCAAACCAAAAAGGAAATGGCTCTAATCATGCTTCTCTCTGAACAACAACAATGTGCAGGCTAGGATGCAGGATAAGATACATACAGTGCAACACTCAGAAACTGCACTAGTGATTATGGCAAGTGCTGCAGTCAAACATACAAAAATACCAGCTGCTTCTTCATGCTTTAACTATGCATTACAAAATATTCGTTCAGGATATAATCACACACTGTTTTTTTTCCCCCACATGATTCCTGAGTCTGTTGCCACACAGGACAAAAGCACTCCAGCTATTCGGGACTGGCATTTCACTGCTCAGTGTGTGCTCCCCAGCTCATTTACAGAGCTGCCAGCGAACCAAATTCCCCAATAGCCCTGTCACGACGTCCTAACCTATGCACTCCCGCACTGGCCTCTGCCCCATCCAGGCTGTTCCCTTCTCCAGCAGCCAGGGTGCTCAGCAGGCACAGCGCCGGGCATGCAGCAGAGACGGTCTCCTTGCTTTCCGTCCTGTTGCCCAGCTCCCTGGAACACACAAGTCTTGGGAAAGTGCTGCCCAGCCCTTGTATTCTGGAGACTTGTAAACCTGAATGACAGAGAGCTTAGCCACCACACCAACAAACAGCTCTATTCAACGCTTTCAAAGGCTTATTAGTCAGTTTAACTTGGTTCTCCATCTCAACAACACTGTCAAACCTCCCGTCTCAAAGTCCTTTTTCAGAGAACAGAAGGTTCATGGGGTTTTCAAGAAAATTTTTGCAGCATAAGATTTAAACGTAAAATCCAATTACTTTTCCAGCCACCCCACGCTTGTGAAAGCTATGACTATTTTTACTGGAATTAATATTGAAAAATCATTGATTGGTTAAGTTTGGTAATATTCTAAGTGACTGAAAACAGTGATCATCTTATAGGAAATGTTGAGCAATCTTGGTTTTCTTATACAGCAATACTTCAAAGAAAACATGATGATCCACCGACTGGAATAGGGCCTTTAGACCAGGCACCACTTTGTAAGCTCAGATTTTTTCAGCACGAAAAGTAGAGATGCTCAATGTGAGCTAGTCGGAACCTGCTCATGATGTGGTACTCATATATATACTACAGTTATTTCCCTAAATTATGCATATCAATTAAAGGCAAGAAATTAGAACCTAAATATAACTAACTGCTTGATGTGATGATCTGATGCAACATGCCAACTTAAGGAAGTAAATTTAGATTTTGAGAAGAGCCAGAAAGCCATGCAAGCACCACAAAAAATATATAACGCACCAAGTAATCTTTAAAAAAAAATATTAATAACAGACTGCAAGCATCTTTCTCTGGTCTTCTAAGAACAAGGCAATTCTCCATGGAGTTAGAGCTGGGCAAAACTGAAAAATAAAATGTATTTTACAATGCACATGAACAAACTATGAACTCACTGTTTACAGGAACCTTGGAAGTAAACAGCTTTACAAAACCGAAAAGGGAACTCTAACTAAGGGTAGTTTCCATATCAGCATAAATGTAACAATACAAATATCTTATGTAATGATACTAAACCACATATTTCAAAGATTAAAAGACTGTGTTATTAAGCTCAAGGCCCTCTTAGATCAAGATGAGACACGTAAGGAAGATAAATTATCCTTCAATTGCTGTTCTAGAGTTCCTGCTCCTTCCTTTGAATCATGCTGTGTTTTTCAGCAGTGAGGACAGGATACCAAATTAAATGGACTTTAGACTTTCTACAACAGCAGCAAGTGCCAACATTCCAGCTCCCAAGAATGCCTGTGAACTACTGCTGAATTCACAGACAGCTTCACATGCCCACATACAGCCACCTCACCAGAAAAATTTAATTCGGTAATGTGCAAAATTATCCGAGTTACACGAACATGGCACCTTATAAAAAGTAAAATCTACAGTGCTGGAAATTGTACAAAGGACTGTTCCTGAGAACTACAACACAGCCTGCACACCAGCACTGACAATTTAACTTGTGTCACCTACAAGTTTTTTATTTCATATAAAAAAAAATTAAAACACTTTTCAACAGAAATGAAATGTCACAGTATACTTGAGAAGGAGCTATTTTTGCACTGAGATTATTTTGACTAATTTTTCCACCTAAAAAAAATGCATGTCAAATTTAATTATATTTTCCTCAGGGCAGGCAGGTGGTAGACCCATTTTGAAATTGCAGAAGCTCAGATTTCTAGAGAAAGGTAAATAATAAGTGATCTAACTGCTTATGACTTATCACTGCTTCTGTCTATTTATACAAAGATAGAAGATAAGATGTTCCTAAAAAGAAAGTAGAAATAGGTTTTCTGGTCATATTGAACACAGAAGAAAGCCAAATATTAGGGCAAAATGAGCATTTTACGTCCACTGCTGCTTCAAAAATACAACAGTGTGACCAAAACATCACACTACATAAGCACATAAGCATGTACAAAAACGGTGCATGGATTCTGAACAGAGTATCTGTGACAATCAAAGTAACATGTAAATCATTGCAATTATCAGCACTTGTAGTAGAATATCCAGGTGATTGTACAAATGAACTTTCAGACAGTTTTCTTCGCATGGCACAAGACCACACTAAAGACCAAACTTTCTTCCTGTAAGTGCTACTCTACTAGCAGAGAAAGGAAAGCTTAATCAACTGCAATAAATCATTGGTGCAGGTTTTATCGCAGGATCTGCGGCGCTCATGCTCTTTTTGAGCCAGTCACCTTGGCTATCTTCTTTTGAGCGATACTATCCGCTTGAGCAATTTCTAGCACAGTAAGCCTCTCAGCTCAATCTCTAAGGTTACTTCAGCATAAGTGAAGACAGAAAGTGAATGTTAAGACACAAAACACACAGAATATTCTAAAGAATATAATTTCCAAATTTTGGACTGTGGCATTGTAATAGTCAAACCTGGCAGTTATACATGTACACAGATTATTTAGATAAAACATGAATCTCTTAATGGAGGAGAAACACACTTGTCTTTTCAAAAGAAATGAATGCATTTTTAGCATCTTTTCCAAACAAGTTTCAAGTAAAACATGAGGAGTCACAGGCAACCTGATGCTTTTGGGACAAGCAACGTGATTTAGTTAACCAGTGCAACTAGTTAATTCCTTAAGTTTTGTCTTTTCTAGTGACGTTATCTTATTTGGGATTTTGCCTTTTTTTTTTTTACCCAGGCACTTGTCTCAGATATATAATACGTATTATATATATGTAATATACATATAATTCTGAGATTGTTTACTTTTCTTGCAAAAAATCAACACAGCAGATACCATTTATGTACTACCAGCATTTTATTTCACATCTCCTAAAATATCTCTCCCAGTGATTTTACATACAAGCCAAACAAAAAGGTAAAAATTTCACTGTCCAACAGTGTGTTCAAGATTGTCTTGAAAAAGGAAATCTAAATAGAATTGATTCACTTCTTTCCATTTACTCAGGTCTTCAGAATGAGATACTGTGGCTAATGACTGACAGCTAAACACTTCGAAGGCAACCATCTCCCCAAATCTTGCCTGTCAGAGTTTACTCTGAACAGATGACTAAGTAACAAGAGGTAACTACAATCAATAAGCCTACCAAAAAATGTCATGGGTAAGTTTTTGAGATACTGGAACACTTAGCAGCTCCCCAAGGAGGGCGGGGAGACAAAAGTGGATGCTGTGACTGCTCCATAGAAGAATCTTGTCAGAGCAAAATCTAACTGATTTTGCATTCGTTTAAAGTTAGTTTTTTGAATAAATACCACAGAAAGACAGACATACTAAGTCTATTTCTTATATGGACACTGTCTGGAAAATGATGTAGAGTTATCTGTTCATTTCTACCATTCAAACACATCACTACAGTATTGTTATACAGTGACAAAAATAAAGACTGATCTCAGAAACACGGGTTGGTAACTCATTGGATGGTATCTGCAGTCTCCTGCTTTGCAGTCTCACATTTGATATTACCACTGGTATTGAAGGATCAGTGAAATTCCTTCATCGTGACTAGCACTGAGACCTACTGCTTTAAATCTGACATTACATACTGTGCATAAGGCAGCATGGTAATTGCTGTGCCAATTTGATGACTCAAAACTGTGCCCGGAACAGCACAACCTCTGTATGTTTTCAAGGTCTTAAAATGTCTCTAAGCCAGCACTATGAATGCAATACTGCTTTAAAAAGAGAAGACATTCAAGAGATACTAATATAAATAATCTTTTTGTAATGAGATATTGTCTCAACAGAGCTCACCAGATATTATAATTTCAAGTGCTATCACTACTCTTACAGTTTTCAAGAGGACACTCTAGATTCTTGAGACATGCTATCAAGGGCAAATCACTAGACAGTCTCAAGTTTAATGAATCTATGAGAGAAGAGACTGGCTTAGCCTGACCTACTTTTCAGTTCTGTTTGCTGAAAGCCAAAAAACCTTCCTGGCCTTCCACTCAAATTGAGAGCATTTCTTTTAAAATTAATCTCAGAGCCTTCTCCCTGATGTTTTACATAAGATTGACAAGTAATAGCATAATTGTATTACCAGCATCTTCGTTGTTTTCCTCCCTTCCTTCATTTCCCCCCACACACACTCAGCTGACTCATGTTCCCAGCAGGCTAACAGACTCCTCAGAATGACATACTGTCTTTCTGACTGCACAACATTCACATTTTATTAGGGCCTGAGTTGGGCTGTTGAGTGCTTTCACAGTAACAGCCACAACTTTGGTGCTCTTAAAAAAAAAATTTTTGCATTTCATTTTACTTGGAAGTTTGCTTCAAATGTCAAAATTCTCTTACCTAATGTTTCCTTTTGTAGTTCACGGCACCTACTTTGTAGCTCATTCCCTTGCTGAAGTGAAGTTTGAAGCTGTTGAGTTTTCAGCTCAACTGTGTCAGCCACCAACGTCAGATGTTTTACCTTTTCTTGGAGGCATTCATTCTCTCTCTGGGATTTTGCTAATCTTTGATTCAATTTGGGTATTTCTGAGGAGGAAAAAAAAAAAAATCATATAGACTGTTGTCAAATTTACCTTCTTCACTAAAATTATTACACCTGATTTACAACCTCGGGACTTCAGCATTCTGTAAGCCCAGTTTAGGTATGGGTCAGTGTAAGCCACATACATTAGCAACACTTCTGCTGAGAATGTAGAGAGCCAAAAGAAGCACTTTGTGCAATATCTTTTTACAGAGATAACTTGTACTTAGCCAAACACATATTATTGACAAATAATACAAATTTTTTTCTAAGCAATAATATGTATTTCCTCTATGATCTGAAAATTAAATTAAAATACACGTATATATTCCAAATGAAATAACAATAGGTGACAGAAATATCTGAATCCAAGCCTTTTATCTTAAGAAGATACACAAACCATTGCTGACACAAAAACAATTGCAGACTCATTTTGAAATTAATCTGAGAAGATATCAAGGGGGTTAGCCTCTGCTAAAGCTCAGTTTGAAACTTTTGGTTCAGAAGATATTTGGGCATCTGTATTACATTTTATTTTCTCACTCCTTAGATGACTACTGCTGTTAAAGTAATCACAAAGTGCATCTTCATTATATAAAAGACAGGCTTTGTCACTCTCTCTCTCATCAGCTCTTCAATGCGGAAGAGCAGCAGTCCCAAGGAAGTTTCCCAGGTAGTTTTTTCTGCAAGGTAAATAAGTAAATCATGGGTGAGGTATAGTGGGTCTCCTACATTTTCATAATTTTTTCTGGAGTTCCGTTATCCTTGATGAGTGCATTTGAACATTTCCAAAAGTAGTTGCAATTCTTTTCTACACCTTCTCCAACTACAGCCCTATATGTTCAGCTGTCCGAAGAAGTTATGTCACTTTTATTTACACTAATAATGACAACGTTCAAGTTAGATGAGCCTAATTCTGTTGTCAACTCAGCTATTACATATGTTTCATATGCTGCCCACACGCAAATTTTATATTCTTTGTGGTACACATTTTCATTATCTACAATCTTTCCCAGCTACTCCACACTTAAATCAATTTACTATTAGACTTAATAATGTAAATACCAAAAGATTTTAAGTTCTTATACTTCTTTCTACTTGCCATTAATTAACCAAGCCTAAATAATGTATATATACGATGGCTTTTAAGCTGTTTTCAAACTAACCAAGCAAACTTGTCTAGGCATAAAGAGTAGCACCTTGTGTAACATTTTTCTTCTCAAAATCTGAATGGAAAACAAGTCCTGAAAATCTTGTTGCAAAAACAGTAAGTTAAAATAAACAAAAAAACCCCTATATATTAACATGTTACCCATATGTTAATAATGAACAACTCATAAAACAGAACATAAAAGCTTTTGAATGGCACTCTCACGCCAAAAAAAAATAATTATGTGTGACTAAATGGTTTTGATTTAGAAAGCTAGATTTAAGGATGTATGTAATATTCACGGTGTGGCACTATTCTCAGTGGGATCTATTGAATGCAGTCAGGGATATACTGCACGTATAATTGTATGTATAATTATTAAAAGAACGTGAAAGGCTGCACTTCTGCTTCCATACAGATATTCTATATATTTGCAGTATTACCACAAATAAAACAAGGGATACTCCAGAAAAGAAGCCTTAAAATATTAGGAATCTCTGAACCTCAAGATGTCTGCAGAAATTCATGCTCATATTCCCTTTATTAGCTAGAAGTAGGCAGAGAATGAGCACAGGAAGAGAGGAATCTTTAGGGACATACAATACTCAGTCTAATTAGGAGATGAAGTCATGATTCAAAATGCTTGATATTGACACTGACATTTAAATTAATTGTTCTTACAAAAACTGAATACTAAAGAGTGATTTTTTCCGGTCACGCTCATCTTCAACAGGCAAGAGCCCTCCCTTCTGGGCTCTCTGCTGCTCGGGCTCAGAGCTCTCTGTTCAGACCCAGGCGCTGTCTCAGGGGGACACGTGCCTACTCGCTCCTGTGGCACAGCTGTCCCGCTTATTTCTTCCCAGTCTGAACAAAGCAATCATTGAAAATGTTAAAAATTACTTCTAATTTCACAGGAAGCATAGGCTACTGGGGAGCTGTTATTTAAAATGAAGCTACATATTTTCTGAGATAATCCGCACATGCAGGTTTCACTTAAGCTGTCAATTTGCACTGGAGTTCACACGGTTTCACGAGCAGAGTGATTTGGGAGATCACATCACCCACCATGCCCTTAGATTCCTCCTCGCAAGGACAGAAAGCATGATATCAGCTCACCTACTTCTTTGCTACCTAATAACCCTGATAAAACTAACCTCCAGAGCAAACAGCAGCTCATCAACTCATACACACAGAACACGCTGGAAAACTATAAGGAAAGGAATACATATATGAAAATTACGTCCAAAGGCCATTAAAGCTGCAACAGCTGCCTGTTTGGATGTTCTGGATGTTACAGTGTGTAATTACACTACTGCACACTTTTTCAGCAAAACTAATCTCTTAACTGAGGCAGAGCAAAAATGGTATTCAAGGATAAATCTGAGTTTTCGAGTCTGACCGCCAGCCTGAGGGCTGGGCATGACCTTCACGAACAAGCCATCGGTTGTGACTTGATCCCAGCTTCTCTTTTCCTGAAGGCTGCCCTTGTTTGAGCCGGAAGCAGGCTGTGGGCCAAGTGAATTATTCTCAGCCCATGGGCTGCTCCACGCCCCTTTCAATCTCAAAGACCCCTCACATAAAGACAGCTGTATTTGGGTATTACTTGTTCTTATTCAGAAACGGAAGGATGGAGTAATTGCTCCATGTTGGGTGCAGGTTTGCTCACATGCAGCGGCTCATGTATTCAAGGCAACCTGACGGGTATACCAGCAGGTTGGCCAAGGAAAGAGGTGCAGCCTGCCCACGCGATGGGGAGGCAGCACTGCAGGACCCTCAAGCAGCTCCACAAAAGCATATTATACCAGTGCCATATAGTATCGTGCGTGTCTGTGAGCATGTGTGAAAAACTGGCGATAGGAGACGCAAGGCAAATTAAAATACCTCCAGGTCTTTATGTTGCAATCATATCCGTATACTCACATTAAGTATATTATTTATGTTTCAAAACATGGTAAGTATTTATATTACTTCCATTTCAGTCTGACTTGGCTAACTGAACAATTGGTCCAGCACACTAATCCAATAGGAACTGGGCCAAGTTCAACTCGGTTCACATGACGCCACAGCAGTAGGTAGGGTCTTCTAATACTTTGGATCTGGACAAGTTAATGTCAGAATTAGAAATTATCTAATTAATTTTACCTTCTAATTCACTGTGCTACACTCAACTACCAAAAAATACTTTACCTTGCCCAAAATCATTGCAAGATGATTTACCTGTCAAAGCTTCTTTGCTAACAGTTTTTATTTGTAGAAAAATTTCTTCTTTCATGGCGGCCCAGTTCTCCAGGTTACTGGCAATGACTTCTTTAATACTGTCTAGTTCACTTCTAATAAAAGGGAACAGTGAGACAGCCTTGTTCAGAGTTGAGCAATGGTGTTCCAATGTATTTCTGCAAGACAGAAAAGTAATACCAGAAGTACATTTTTTAAATGATAACATACTATTAGTAAACTTGGGAACTAAAGTAAACTTGACAACTACTTTTCTGTTATATGATAATTTATACTATATTGGGTTACAATAATTTAGTGTATGAAATAGGCTGCATATTGAATATCGTTACAGTAAGTTTCTCCCTTCTAAATGTTGATTTAGAACTTATGCATATAAATGAAGAAAACTGCACAGACAATTGTACAATCACTTTTTATTGAGAAATCAGAGTAATCATGTTTAAATTACTATGTCCAAGCTTATGTTGACTCTTTATAAACAATATACGTAAGAAATACTGTATTTCCAATGCATTACAAGCAAGTGGTACACACTTGCTTTTAAGTGTTAATTAATGCTTTTACATTTGTGAAGAACTTATCCTGTTGCTAATAACATCAGCAACCAGCAGTGATATTTCTGCTTACATTTGCTAACACTACAGCATCTCGCTATATTCTGGAAAATTGAGACACACTGGGATGGTTATAAACACTCTTCTCACTCACAGTATTCTCCCTGCCTGTGCCTGCATCTCCACTGAATCCTCTTGACTCATTGTACACGTTCGCAGGAGGCACAACGTTGGCATTTCTTTTTGGGTTCTTACCTGAGCACTTGTGATTGCTTATAGGCAGCTTCCTTTTCCTCTTGGAAATACCGCAAATCTTCTTTCACTTTTTTAAATTCATCTTGCTTGGTTTTAAGTTCCACCGTTAGGGTTTTTATTCTATAGATGTAAATAAAATAATCAGAAAGTATTATTTGCACTACTACCCAACCTCTAACTGTTGTTTCAGCTTTAAATCAAAAACGTGCTGAAAGTCTTTTCAAAGATGATAACCACACATTTCAGACTGAGGTGTCAGATCTCCAAATGGAGAGAGTTTATCTTCTGGCCACTGCATGAGCCACTTGAGCAACTCTTTCAAAATAATAATCATAATACATTTGTAAAACAATGTGGAAATGTATATGTCCAATATCAGCTCATAGGCAATGCTATATAAATATCTTAAGAATCCAGTGTTCATTCACAGATGCAACACAGAACTCATTCATCCTCCAAAAAAACATGTGCCATTATGAAAATCTCAGTTTAAAGTTCAACTTGGGTACGCAGCTTAGGGGCTGCTGCAATACCCAAAAGGTAGGTACGTTGTCCCAGCAGGGTAATGCAAGGTACCACAATGAGCAGCGTAGGTTCTACGCACAACTGCAAGGATGTGCAGGGAAGGGTAATAGAAAGCTCATCTAAGCTGAAGGGGAAATTCTCTTAAGTCAACCAACAGCAAATACTAAATATTTGGTTACTGTTACCATAATTTTTTTTCTATTCAGATTGTTTACCTATTTGTTAATTTCAGATGTTTGCAAAAGATGAACCCCAATTAGTCACTCTTGTTTCCCTTTGCCCTCGGTTGCACACTCATGATCATGGAACCATACTTCTGCATTGCTGAATTAATTAATGGTGCTCAGCAAATGATAATAAAAAAAAATACACAAGTAAAATATATTCCTGTCTGTTATTTTTACACCAGCTGGAATTTAGGTCTCCATTGCTTGACAATGGCATTTTAAAGACCTAAAGAGAAACTTTTCACAAAAAATGTTTCCACCAGATGTTACTTCTATGTACTCAGGCAATGACATTAGCATCAAAACAATCAAAAATGTCAAGTTAGTAAGATTATTTTCCTACATTTTTCTTAAGGAAGACTTAAGGAGAGGGCAGGAAGTTCTGGACTAGAGCTAGGTTTCCATGTTCCCAGCCTGACCCACAACATGCCAGAGAAAACACACATTTATTTTCTGTACTTCCCCCGCTTCCTTTCAGAAAAAAACCCCACCCAACATATTTTGGGCGCAGAACCCTGTTGACCACAAGACGGGGTGGGAAGGATGTGATTTGGTGGCTCTACCTGACAAATCCTCGCTGGGTGCTGGGCTCCTGCCAGAGTCTCAGCTCTTCTCAGGTTCCCCTCCCTCTCCTAACGCCCCTTGGGACGCCTGCAAGCAATCACCTTACAGAAGGGGATTGAAGGAGACACTGTCACAACACCCTCTGTAAGTATTTGCCTTGAATAGATTGAAAAGTTTTTTCGGGCTTCCTCCTCCTTGGTCTTCCAGGGTGCTCATCACAACAGCACACACTAGATTTTTAAATTACAGTGCAGGTGACAGCATTCAGCATTTTACTTCAGATCTGACACCAAAAAAGATCCTAAATCTGGGATTGGGAAAGAAAAGCTTACTGTTATCAGGACTCACAAATACATTGTTTACCCTCCCTCCTATTAAAAATGCAAATTAACGTTTGTCACATCTGTGCTTCAACTATGCTTATTTAAATGAGATTATGACACTGCAGAAGTAGAATATCTGTGCTGGGGGAAAAGTGATCAGAAACAGATGATACGTTCTCATGGTTATGTAAAAGAATATTCAAACTCAAGATGTATAATAAGGATAAAGTGGGAAAAAAACCCATTCTTTCACCACTGCGAACTAACAGCTTGTTTTACAGCCAGCAGTCAGTACTGCTTAAGCAGCCCCTGCCTCGACCACAGAGCAGCATCCCACAGCCGGGGAGAAGGGGCACCGCCGCTCGCAGGGGCATCTGTCTCCACACCGCTTCCCACCCAGAAAAAGGGGGAACGAAACCAGACGCCTCATCAGATGAGGCTGATCCACCTGGGGCTTCCCTCATTTATGGGATTTCCCACTCTTGCAGTCAGCAGGCAGGCTGCCTGCTCCGCAGCCGGCTCGGCCCATTCCCACCCCAGGTGTAGCGGAGGCCGAGGTCGGGCAGGATTCCTGCAGGCACCTGGAAGCACGCGGAGATGACGCCTGCTCAGGGTGGCCGTTCAGTGCATTTGCTAACATCTGAACAATCTCCTCATTTTAATTGCTTCAAGTTTTGTACATGTATTTTGGAAAAAAAACCCAAAACAAACCAGCCCCATGATAAGACACAGGAGAACTGACCAGTATTTCTTTTTACCACCATCGCCTGCTCACAGGAGAGGAGGAGGAGGGTGGCCCTGGGAAGCACAGGGAGTTCTCCATCACTGTACAGCTGTGCCCAGTTGCACGCACTGGTCTCCCACCCGCTCAGGATACGACGCACCTTCGTGCTGGACTCTAACCCACAGCAAGCACAGCCACCCAGTTCAAAGGAACAGACAGCTGACCTGCAAGTTCTCCTTTGCCTCTAAAATTCACCTTTTGAACTCTTTCATTATAGCAGCGGTTCTGAACCTGTTTATTTTTCAAGCACAGCTATCATAGTGTAAATAAATACGTTTTAAACGCTGTTCTTTCAACAACTCGGGACTTATTCCCACAATTGTAATGAAAAGAATGGAACCATATGGGAATAACAGACAGTTGAATCCAATTCCCTTCCTGTGTTACATGTGCAGAAAGAATACCACACAGCAGCACATCACTACCAGTTTACAGTACAACTTTTTTCTTTTCTGTTAGCTGTAGGTAACCATTCTAATATAGTCTTCTGTCCCCAAAAGTACAACTACAATGATATGCAACTGTTAAAAACCAGTCCCTTTTTAAGCTTTCAACACTTACTACTGCAAGCAGACTATATGATCTATTTGCCTACTGGCGACTCATTGTCGCAAGTAAGTAAATAATATTTGAAATCAACAAATATTTTACAAAACCAAAAGAATGCCAGAAACATTATATCAGCCTTTGCTTCAACTTTAAAAAGCAAAAGAAAATGAGAATGATTTACAGTAAAAATATTATAAAAAATAAGCCATAATATTCATGTACATTAATTCTGTTATCAGATAGATCATCTATAACACATTTGCACCAAAAAGCAAATTTTAAAAAAACTATGAGTCCTGATAAAGAAACTTGTGCCTGTAGAGCTCTGCCAAAACCAAAACTGAACATCCGGTAGTTAAAAAGCCACTTGATAGGGCTCAACTGTGATCACTAAAAAAAAAAACCAAAACAAAACAAAAAAAACCCCAACCCAAACAAACAAACAAACAAACAAAAACAAACAAACAAACAAAAAACCCTTAAAAAAATTGAAGAAATTTCTGGTATTACCTTGCTAGGAAAATTTACCCATACCTACCTGTAAATTTCTTGGAGGCAGAGGGCAGGAGGGGAGCAAATAAAATCTGTTTGATTGCATTTGGGAGCAGAATCAGATTGGTGTCACTGACTAATGAGGAAATGTCCATCCCCATAACAGTTACATTTAAATCTATTTTTGCAGATGATATATTCTGTTAACTACACCTTGAGGAAAAAAAACAGTGATTTATCATGGAACAATACCAAATCAAAACTTTGGGATCCATGGAAAACTAGATGCTCATTTTCTATTCTTACTCATTCCAGAATGGGCAGTATTTGAAGATCTTTTGGTTTAAAAAAGAAACTTGCAAATAACTTGCAAATTTTCTTCCTCTTTCCATTCCAGAGATCCGATATAATGAGGTTAGCACAGAACTGCAGCCTCAGAGTGCAAAGGGACATTATCAGTATGTTCTGGTCATTCACACACAAAGAAGAGGTAGAGAAGGCAAGACAGCTGCACTCTGTCTACTACCATCACCATAAGAAGGAAGAAAAATAAACATGTTATTTTAGTGATATTTAGCACAAAAGAAAAAGTTCAATGGATCACTAAATGCTGGCATTACAAGAGAATCGTGAGAACATACTGATCTCGCCCTCTGTCCTATAGTTCACACGAACTGTGAAAATTATCATCTTATCTTTGCAGCCAGCATACTTTCTTAGTGAATACAGGAGAAAGCCTGCCCAGAGTGGGAGCTCAATTATAACATGTTAACTACTAGTGCTGACAACGAAAAGAATAGCATGAGAAAATAAAGAAGTAGTTGCAAGGGATTCTTGCCAACAAATATACTCATTGTCTTAAAAGTAACGACAAGAGCAATTGCCATGTTTGTTCGAATTTAAGACATTGTGTTTCGCAGAAGTTAAGATCAGAAGAAATAACCTTTGCAGATTACATGATACATAGCCCCCTTACAAGTCCCAGTAGGGCCCATTTAAGCCTGAATGAGCAACTGCATCCCTACTTGCCGGGAGTCAGCAGAGACAGTATGCACAGAGGAGGCTGGAACACACTGTCAATGAAAAAAGTTTCACTACAGTGTTTTCAGCTCCATGAAACTCTAGGACCTGCTCAGAGCCAGTAGTTGCTCATTTTCATTTCAGCATGTTGCATTCCTTCCAATAGACAAGTAAGTGTGCAACGCTATGAAGAAGCTGAGTATTCATTCATAAATTTGGTATCATCCACAAACTTCTTCATAATTGGGGTTTTTTTATATTCTGTTCAGCACAGACTATTCAAGTTAAGACTATTTAATAGTTTTCATGTGCCACTGCAGAATCATTCACCTCTTGATTGCAGGTTAGCATACAGTCCAATTTGACAGCAAATTAAAACTATCTCTGACAACCAGTCAAGAGGCTCTTTGTGAAGGTCTCTATCAAGTCTCATGTAGGCTGACAGTCTTTTCAAATCTTGCATTAATTTTTATCTATCTTTATTATCTCAGCAGAAATATAAGATCTATTATGAAGTCAGCCTGGATAATTTTTGCTTCAGCAAAGGTAAATCTCTGGAACAGGTCTGAAAAACAATGATAGAAAGATGACTGCCTTGTCACAAGCACTTCAAAATTTATCTTTGAAGAAACTCAA